CAGTTAAAAACCGAAATGTCCTTTTGTGCCTGCTTTTATACTTACTCCAAGTGCAATTGTCAACGGAGGGCATGAGCTGAAATGAAATTTCCGTGAAGTTTCAGGGGTCACCGGAGCGGAGCACTCGAGTTACTCTTAAGGAAAACATTTAGAATTGCTTTAAAAACGAAGCTCAAGCGCAGTTTTATGTACAGGCCAAAAAGCAGATATACCAAATAATACCAACTAAATACTGTAAGTACGGAACTCAGGAAAAGCATTGCAAAGTAAAAGGGGGGAAAGCACAAGGCAGCATCATCATCATCATCATCATCATTATCAAAGCACAATAATCATCATCAACATCAACGAGTCGGGGAAGGATCGTAGTTGATTCGGGAAAGCTTCGGCGGTTGGGGGGAAATCGGTTGCAGGAAAAATAAAACACAATCGACTTTTTTTGTAGTTTTTGTTTTTTTTTTTAGAGAGAGGGTAGTTTTCTCCGCTAAGGATTTTCAAAGTTTACTTTTATTTAGAGAAGTTCCTTTAATGATAATCATACTTATGCTTTTGTTTTGTTTTTTCTTTCGTCAATTTTTCTTTTGCATTTTACTTCTTGCTTTGTTTTCATTTGTTTGTTTAGTAGATGTTGTTTAACAGCTAAATACATGTTCGTTATATCGTACTATTTGAGTTTCGTGTTTGCTTCCTTCCGGTGTATTCCTTCCTCTCACCTCATCGTGTGTTATTTGTTTTGTTTGTTGTATGCTTTTCTTTTGCTTTGCTGCGTTAAAATTCTCTTACTAGCTAAGTTCTTCGCTTTGGTTTTTGTTTGTCTAAATTATAATTGTTTGGTTTTCGTATTTGGTTTCTGGTTTTGCCTTTGATGTAATTCGGCACCGTGCTTGTTGTTTGTCAAAGTTCGCAATTCGACAAGTTTAAGAATCAATCATATCATATAAGTTTCAGAATCGTAATCTATATGTCCATATATCTTAATAGTTACGTGACTTAATACCCTAAATTGTAACAATAAGGTTTTTTTTCTATTTATTTTCCCACTGGTAATTAGTACACACATTTAATAAATACACATAATAATATTTGCCATATATCATATCTTTTATATTGAGTTATGCTTGTAACTGGTAATATTCTGGTTTGCCCATATATAATTTAAACACTTGCAATGAACGGTAACACCAACTTACGTTCTAGAGAAACGTGTACTTAGCTTGACTTTTGACTTTTGCCTGGCAACGCTCTTGTCCTGCTCTGCTCAAGGCAGCTTTTGGCACATGCTGTACTTCCGCTTCTGTGCAATTGTCAACTGACTTCGCTTATCTGCTAGATTTTGTAATTGAGTTCGCATCGTTTCATATAATTTGCTATAACTGTGGTGTAATATTTCTCTGGTATATATATATATTTAGGTTTTAATAGGTATTTTTAATTTTAACATTTATATAGTTGCATATTTGTATGCTTAAACTTGTTGAAAAATGACTAACCCTATCCTTCAGTTAACACTCCTTCTTCGTTCCGTCTTTCCTTTCACAAATGACCCTCAACATTAATTTTTCTATGGTTTGCCTTTTGAGACTAATTGTAATACGAATGTTAATTAACGATTTCGATTAAATACTGACAAAGTGCAAGTACATCTAGCGAGTAACATAGAGCCGTGCCCCAGACTCAGTTTAAACTGGGCTAAGCTCGTATGATATCAAATCGAAGGAGACTTCTCAAGAACTTATCCTCATCTGGCCGGTGACACTTGTTCAATTTTGGTGGCACCCTCACACCCCTTTGGCCAGGACTCCATGCCCGGTTACTCACCGTGCTTAGTGCGCTCTTGAACGTGTGTACAGTCCCGCCCGGGAAACTGTAACTATTGGGAATTTTGGAAATTAGACTCAGCTTAGACTGAGTTTGAGGCACAGGACTTAATTGCCCTTGGGTACAAGACTATACATTTATATTTATATATATTTACTTAACCTTGAACTTTATGCTTTGATTTCAACTTCCTAGCAGACGTCCTCCTTTTGGGGATGTGAAGCATACAAGTGAACGCTGGCCACACTGAATGTTCCACATCGCAAGGAGTTTTCGTCTGTGAATCCTGGCAACGCTTTAGGGGCATTGCCAGCCTTCAATCCTTTTGATTATACTTCCTCCGAATCGTATCCCTAATATGACTTTCTGTTATGAAGGGATATAGTATTTCGATTAATATTATTATTTTTTGTAACCACCAATACCTTAATTTAGTTTTGTGTGTTTGTTTTGCTCAATTTTGAGTTGCAGCTTCTTTGTTCTCGGGTTGGAGACACTCGGTATTTTGCCATCGGAATGTTTGATGTTCGATCTTTATGCAGCGGTCTGCTACTTTGTGCTTCGCGTTCTCCTAAACGCCATCAGGGACCAAGGAGTTCGTTGTTGTCCTTGTCTTCGGTTTCCCTAGATCTTCCATTTGGTCTCTTCTCAAGATTAACCACTAGGATTTAGCTATTGTGTTCTGATTCGTATTATTCTCAGGGGATTTCCACTCCACTTTTCGTCCATTCGTTCCTCGTTCCTTTCGATATAGTTCTTCTGCTGCTTATTTGTTAGTTTAATTTTCTGTTTGTTGTATTTCGAGTTGAGTTGTTGAGTTTTGCGCGACTTACTTATAATTAACTTTACGCTCTCTGCTCAACTGGCTACATTTTCCTCAACTTAACTTTAACATTAAATGTGCTCACTTTAGTCGCTACATTTTGGGATTATTATTCATTTAAGTTCTGTTTAATTATTTTCTTTTTTTTTACCTCAGTTTGTCGTTTCACTAGTTTTATGTATGTGTCGTGTGGAATGTATTGTGTTTTGATTGTTGTCTTTTCTCATCTTCTTGTTCATCCAAAAATGTGAAAACAAATGCCTAAGTTGTTAATGGAAATTATTGCGATAAGCTGAACTTAGCATTTCATTAACGTAAACCCATAAAAATTTACCTTTGCTAGATATTTTTTATGACTTCTTTCGATCAGCTGAACAGCGCCTTTTATTTATACTTTCTTTGTGTTAGGGTCGGCCCCTGGGGGCTCGCCCTTTAATATCGTATAATAGTTAATAATATAATATAGTTTACTCTTTTTCGTTTTTTGGTTTGTCAAGTCCATTCTGCAGTTACGCATATAAGATATAAAGTTTCAGCTGACTTTCATGGATCTTCCTAAAATATGTATCGCTAAGCTGCTTTAACTATGTATGATCCATACAAATATTTTGGGGTCTACTTCAATAGTTAGTTGTTCACGTATCTTCAGTGTCTTTGTGTATGTTGTCTGCGTATATAATAATATCCCGCTAGGTAATTATAAACATATTAGTTAGAACTTAATATAATATTATCATCGTTCTCAAGTAACTACAGCGTCTGCCTTTAAATAGCTCGTTTGCCTAGCATATAACTTTATACGTATGTATGTTGTATATAAAATTATATTATCCGTATATTCGTAATACTATATATTGAATTGAGTAAACACAACTAAATTTGCTGATCTGTTAGCGTTTGCCTGACTACCAAATAAAGAAGCGCTACTCAAAAATACGAATCTACTTAAAGAGTTAGCCCTTGATCTTAATCGGATTCCTTGGAATCATGGAAAAGTGGTATCTAAACACACATGTATTTCTCTTTATATCGGTTTTCCGGTTTTCTTTCATTTCGAGGGTTAGTTTCTTAGGCAAGCGTTGGAGGAGAAACCTTTGAGAAAAGTTTGTAGATCTATTGGTTTCGCTTGGGGTATTCTGGGCGTTTCTAAGGCTTCTTGAATTGAGTCTACAGATGATGGGTGGGTTACATTTATCGGGGCTTCGACATTGAACTGTCTTTATCCCTTTTCTTGTTCATGACTGATATGATTGAGTTTAGCGTTGTCGACTACTGTGTTGGTTTTTTGTTTTGGGTTCGGTTTTGGTTTCGGTTCGGGTGGGATTGGATGATGGGATGTGATGGCGATGATGATGGGTGCAGAGAAAACATAGCGATATAGAAACGAATCATCTTAGAATGTATAGAATGGCATGCAGTAACGACTAGGAACGATAGCTAGAAAGAACGTAGAGGGATGAACGAGCGAGTAGAGAGAAGAAAAAGAGACGAGCATAAAAACGACGATAGAGGAACGACGATAGATCGACAACGATGAGGAGCGCACGATGATGAATCGAGTTCGTGAGAAACGAGTAGCGAGTAAAGAGTATCGAGTAGCGAGTAACCCACTCGGTTTTTCTGCATGTCCTGGCTGTGGTTCCTCGGCTTTCGTTCTGCTTTCTGGTTGTCTAAGTTCACACAGATGCTTTGGCTGTGGTTCGCTGCTTCCACTACGCAGCGAATTTTGATTAATTTTATTGAGATGAGATTGTAAGAGTGTGGGCATAATTTTCACAACTTAAGCCTAGATCGAACTCATACCAAGCAGCGCACCCGATGTCCGTCGCCGTCGCCGTCGCCATAGCCCCCTTTCTCCTCAGTGCCACCTTCGGCGGCGGTAGGTCACCTGTTCGTTGACCAACTGCCAGAACTTGGCATTTAGCCACAGGACGAAGAGCAGCAGCTGCAGGAGCAGCGGCCATTGTTGCAACTCGTACCGTGTCCTTCGCACCAAACGCTGCAGGCGACCGCCACCCCGCTTCCCCACGCCGCCCATCGATCGCTCCTCGGCGGCTCATAGCTCAGGTTGTAGTTGTAGTAGTAATAGTAGTTGTTATTATAGTGCTGCATCTCCACCGGCACTAGATCTAGGGAATCATCCCGTCCCGAAACTTGGCTGCTACATCGATTCTGGTTGTGATTATGGTTATGGTTGTGACTGTGACTGTTACTGTGGTCTTCTAATTGCTGTCGAGGCTGTTCTTCAACATTATTAAATCGATCGGGTGTTGCTGTTGTTGTTGTTGTTGTTGTGGTATGAGTCGTGGAATGGGTTGCATTATTGCTGTTTGGCTGGTTATCATAGTTATGGCGGTATTTCTGTGGTTTACGATAATATTACATGATAACGCATTTGCCCTTTTCGGCCCACGGATTATTCTTCTTATCCGGGGCATTGATCAAGGGATCATTCTTCTCGTTCTCCTCGATGAAGGAGCGCATTCTGTAAAGAAACAAAATTTTAGAAAGCATTATTATCAGAATATTTTATGTGCTATTAGTTGTAAATCAAAGGGATAGTAAAGTCAAGGAATTAAGTTCTTTAAGTCCTCTTGTTGACCTTTTTCGAGACCAAAATGTAATATTCAACTTCATCAAGTTTTGCCAACAGAAATGTAGTTATTTATTTGTTAAAACAAAATGTAATCTTTATTGTTATAATAACAATAACATTGTTAAGCTTGTATAATAAAAGAAATACAACATTTCAGCGCTTTAAGTTTAGTTTTATTATGGCACACATAATACCCATCCGCCGGCTTATACATTTTATAACATTTCATTCACCTTTACCTTTTGTGAACTGAACTGAGTCGCAACATTTTCATTTGGTAATCTCTTTCTTTAAAGCTCATAAAATGAGTAAGCTCTCAGTTAGCTTTAGTGGAAGGAAAATCAAGACATTTTAAAGGAATAAATACAGAAAAGAATGGTTGGGGCATCCATCCGCACTTAAAGCTAAAGCGGACATAAACTTATATCTCACGTCTGGCGTAGCAAAAAGGTTGATTTCGGGACCGGGTTCCGAATGGCAGAGGACAGCAGATTTTATGCTAATCCACACGCAGATGGACATTAAAAATGTTTGAACACTTTGCACGCGCCAAGGAAACTAACGATTTTCCCTGCTGGCTTTCCCCTCTCGGTCCTGAAAAATATTCGCATATAAATTTTCCTTGCCTTTGTTGTTTCTTGTTGTAATACGCTTATCCTTTAGGGCCATAAGAATGGTTGCCCCGTCGTTTTCATTTGTCTCTCACTTTATTCCCCGGCCTGTCTCCTTTCCGTCTTCTGTTTATCTATTTTTATTTCCTATCTCGCTGCTTTTCCTTAGACAAAGCATTTCTTACTTTTCTCCACTCTACATTTCCCACTTTTCTTGCTGAATTTGCAAGAATTTATTTATTTAAAGGGCGTTTCCGCGTTCCGCGAGGAAAAGTCGTCTCTCAAATAGACACTTTGAGAGACAGTCGTCTGTCTGCGAATGATTTTTGCATTTCAATTTGTTAGTTTGAAAATTTCCCAGTCCTCGTGCTCCACTTTTAAATTCCCTGTTTCTAGGATCACGAAATACCAAGTATTCGTCATTGCTTTTTGTTAATAAGACTTGGCGGAAAGTTGTTGAATTAAGAGAGCGGAAGTGCTATTTACTCATTCTGGGGAAAACTTTCTTCAGGGAAAAAGTTGGAGGAGAAACTTAAATGAGAGTATGAAATTAAGAAAAGTTCTAAGACAAGGTATAAATTGTCATAAAATATTTAATTTTATAGATTAAGTGAGTAAGTTTGTTGTACGGAATTTAAGCAAATATTTGCAGCAACTTTCATTTCGATTGCTAACGGTATTTCTGATTTCTTTAAGCTAAACTTCTTACAACTAATGCACATCAAAGTTTTCCTCTTTCCTTTTTATGAGCAAAAGTTTTTAAGAATTTTTATAATAGAAATAAAGTACGATGTGGAGAAAATGCTATTTTCACGATAAGTGCTTCCATCGATTAGCACTTAAAGTTATGTACTCTACTCTCTTTCGGTCCGAGACTTGAGTGGATTCATAATTGCTTTTTTAGTTTTCCAAAGCAAAACTCAAGTTATATTAAATTTTCCGAAGATTTCCCAGAACAAAAATATTGCACTTTCACAATAAGTATTTAACTTGAACTAAATAATTGAGGCAACAATTTTCCAACTATTTTATTCGGTTTGAATGATAAGTTGTCCTGGGAAATCCATGCAAATGTTTGTCTTTTGTGCTGCTTAAATCACGCAAACCGATTCCGGAGAAAAAGGAGACGAGGAGAACGAAAGGAGAAGGAAAAGAAAGGCAAGCCTGAGGCACTTTTCTCCACTTTTCCCATAACCCAGTAAATAAATACTTGAATTGACCGATTCGTCTGGGCTGCTCTCTGCACTTTCCGGCATGGCAATTGCATATTCAACTGATGGCTACATTTTGTGGCTTTATTTATTGGACAAATGTTTTCCTTTGGCTTCTTGGCCAAAAGCTGCAGCTGTTGTTGTTTGCCTTTTAAATGGGGTGGGGTTTCCCGCCCCCTCCCCCACTTTTCCTTTTCATTTTCCGCTTGGCGTGATTATAATTTATTTTATTTTGGCTTTTCGGGTGTGCGCTTTCATTTGACCGCAAAATGGCTTTAAACATCTTGCGGCTGCTTTGATGTTCTGTTTGTTTGTCGATTAAATGTAAGGATTTTCCTGGCTATCAGTGCACGCATGCGGTGGAGTTGTTTGCCGTCATTAGTTTTGATTGTTTCGAACCAAAATCCCAAACGTGAAACCCCTTCTCGACGACTGATTGTTCCTGCCGTGTGCTCAATTATCAAAATGCCAAGGTGTGCGACCAGGCCACGCCCCCTTGTCCGCCGCCTGCCTGGGCGTGTAATTGTGGGCGTGGCATGTATGCATAATTTAACTTAACAAGACCTTGTCGTCGGCAGCTATGTCCTTGTTACCTCGGTGTCGTTATCCTGTGTGCATGTGTTCAAGCCTGCGAGTGTGTATGTATGTGTGTGTGCGTTGAATTTTCTCTATTTCCTTGCTCATTTTCCGCATCAACAGAGCAAAAGGCAATGTCATGCGGGGCTCGGAGTCCTTCCCCACGAAGGACTGCCTAAAACAATGCCTCCTGCAGCCAAGCAGCCCCTCCTAACTCGTGCTTGCCATGGCTAATGGGCTTATGACTTTGCGGTTTCAGCCCATGCAGCCGGGAAAACTGAGCCACAAACACACTAACGCACGCACACACACACATAGCGAACGAGAGGGAAAAATGAAAATCCACAGAGCTTAGAAAATATTCTTTTCGGTTTTTCTGTTCTGTTTTCTCTGCTCTCTCTCTATTTTTTTTTGGGGTAAACAAAGGCCAAGGGTTTTCCAGAGGTTCGAGATTCGGTTCGGCTGCCAAGGCCGGTAAACAAAGTTGTTATGATGACGTTGGATCTTTGGCAGCCAAAAAGTAAATTTGGAAAACTTTGTCAGGGCAGGTTTCTCCCCTCCGTTGACCCCTGGGTTATGGGGTCTATCTTGGCGCTTGGCGATAAGAAGACTCTGTGAGTAAGCGTGTTGCTCAACATGCATTTTTAATGAGAGCATTAGAGGGAACACTGGCTCCGATTAGGAAGGGTTAAGAACAAAGACTCGGAGACCCCCGGGGAATCTGGGTCAAAAAAGGAGAACTAAGTGTATAAAAAATATAGAACAGGACCTAAAAACCAGGCACTTGATTCTTAAAAGAGTTTTTCAACCTTTTCTCGGTCCCTTTATTTATTTGCAGCTAACGATTATCACAGAATGCAACTTCCTAGGAGTTCCAATTGGTTTTAAATATGTTTTTAGATTTTTCTCAATTAAAATGTAATCCCATCAGTGAGACTTCTTTATTTAAGTAGTTCTTAGAAGGCCCTCAAATCAGAGAAACAGTCAAAGGATTTTCTCTATGAAGTCGCCTTTGGCTTCGGGGCCTCCTTAGGCCCATAAGTTGTGTATGACATCATTAGCATCTGTGATGAGTTTCCCTTGTTTTTTTTTCATTTGGTGGCAACTTTTCTCATAACACAAGCGGGGTAATGGAAATGAAGGCAACAGAGAGTAGACAAAGTGCCGCAGGGACATAAAAAAGTTTTATTCGACATCTGCATTTAATTTGAGTGCTTCAGCCGAACGAACATCAAGGAAGAGGAGAGCCTGAATGACGAACGAACAGGTTGAGTGCTCCTCTCAAACTGCCATTCAGCGGTGAACGAACACATTGAAAACTAATTCAGCAGCCGTTGATTTAACATGTGAGCCACGAGGACAGCCAGCCAGGCTTGGGTTCCCTTCCGACCGCAGAAACCACATGGCCATGTGGACCATGCTGGGCTTTTATGTGCTAATTGAAAGTCCTCCCATTTGCCCATTTCCCATTTCCCAGGCTCTCCTTCCACCCCTCGATGTTTGTATATACTTCCCTAACTGAATAATTCTAAGAGCCTGAAATGAAAAGTCATTTGGACGCACTTCCCGACATCACCGAGTTCCTGACAACGTTTTGCTTTTAGGGTTAGGCGAATTAATGTTTTGTGGCAAGCTGTGATGGAGCAGGGACAAAAAGGCACTGGGACCACAAATGTCTCAGCCTGAAGATGGAAATTAATTAATAATATAAGGCATAGGAAGTGTGCATTAACAAGAATTAATAATGCAGAGAAGACAATGCGTCTGAAATAACATGCATCTCACTCTCTCTTTCAATTTGATTAAATCAAATATAATTTCCAATCCGTTTAACATAACTACAATACTTGTTTACTCAAGCTGAAACACAATAAACTGGAATTTAAATGCAACAACTGCTAATTAATTCCTACAACAGTCTTTGACCTCATTCCTAATGTAAAATTAATTAACATTTTAAGGACTTAACCAAGTCATCACCCGTCTTAGCATTACAAATTCCAATAAATGTAAGAAATTGGAAGTAAATTTTAATTGACACATTTAATTTACGATCTCCATAAATTGACATTATATGGTAATGCTTCCGTTTCGATTAATGAAGTAATTTGTCTATCTTGGCGAATTAAATTCCGATCAAAGGGTCTAATTCACCGACATCAATCTGGGCACAAGTTCAATCTATAATTAAATACCAAAGTCCCTTGCTCCACCTTCGGGTGGGTTTTCCTACCTTTTCCGGTCTGTCAGCTGCTGGCACAAAAAAATAACATAAACACGATGTAAATGTTGATTTATGACAGCCGCAAGTGTGTGTGTGTGCTCACAATCACACGCAATCTTAAGCGCCCGAAAGCATGCTACAAAAAGCATTATTTATCGATGGCAACCGCAGCAGCAGCAGCAGCAGCTGAAGGCGGTCCGCCGGTCGTTCGCATTTAAAAGCAGATAGCTTGGATCCAACCAAAATTAGAATTGCCTGTTTTTCCGG